TTCTGGTAATTGGTAAATTTTTACATATGAATTTACTTACACGTTATTTACTTCCAAAAATTTTATTTATTGCGAGTAATTAAATAATGAACGTATGTTAATATTCAGCTACGTGTCTCTCAAATTAAGTGAAATACAGAAGTTTTATTTTCTTGAAAATTAGTGTCAAAGAATGCAGCAACTGGTCAGATTAGTTTCGTAAATAAATCGAAACCCTGTATCGACACATTGTTTTTTATGCTATCAAATATCACACGGAATCTTTTAGGAAGTAGTAAAATCTTTTACACAAATTCAATGAAATACTTTCAGGTACCCAGTTTAGGCTATTCATAGACATTTCACAGGACAATGATATAAATGGAACTTTGAAACTTTTTTAAGCGTTACAGTGATATTTCGTTATATGTTCCACAATGTCAATAATATTCATTTCCTTGCAACATCCACAATTATTACAAATGTCAATATAACGAAATATCTTTTATGCGATGTTTGTGGTGTAATAAAAATCTGTGTTTCGATTACGTTTTTGATACGTATTACTCACTTATATGTAATAATATAGAATGAAAATAGACTATTAGTCCGATATTTGAAAATATGCATGCGTTCGTTGTCACTGTTAAACTGTTGCAATAACAATGGAATAATAAAATAATTTACTCAAATGTACATAATAATACATATACATATCCATAAAAACAATATTAAACGCAATAACTTTTTTGTACGCGAAGAAAAACTAATATAGGTCCGTCGGGATTCCAACCCAAGACTCCTTTCTAATGCGTCTACTTTATAGCGAGCGGACGGAAGAGAATCCGTTCACGACCATGCCATGGTCACCATGGTCCCTTCTTAGATTTAACGTAGTTCACAAATTCACCGTTCTCATAACGTAGAGGGCAGCAGAAAATCCCTGACTTTTTACACAATCGGTTTTTCAGAACATGAGACACGAAATCCCATAAGATGATAGGTCTATCCTATACCTAGTCGGTGGTTAGGCCCTTGGATTAAAGCTTACCTATTTCGATTTGAATTTCCCGCCAAGAGATTCTAGAACCTCAATGTATCAGTTGAACTAGGGATTTTCATGTACTACAAAATACGTAACCTATGGTGATAAAACCAATTAAGTACCTTTCCTATAAAATATCTTTTATGCAATCTAATGCTGTAAATAATAATCCCATTAATTAAAAATAATAACGTTTCAAATTGACGTTTCAAAATGACTCCATCATTTTACAGTCACTGCAGCAGCCACAACTTTCCATTGGTAATATAGTGCCAGTAAGAATTACCTCTATTATTATTTAATATTACAAAGTGACGTGTGGCATGTTTTTCGCAGAGTGTCCTTGCGATCGCAATTAGGTTTCACCGTCAATTGTCGAATGGAAAGTCCGTGCATCATCGCTGGGCCGCACAGTCGGCATCGTAGAACAGTGTCATGGCGTGGCAACAATGACAGATACTGTGTTCCTCACCGACGAATTCGGTACAAAGCGTAATATGTGGGGTTGTTTTCGATGTAACAAAGGCTTCCTAATATTGTTCCTGATCCATGTGATCGCGTTCCAAAGTTTTGTCTGTGAGTGTTCATCCGAAACCATGTACTTCCTACTTATACCTCCGATCAAAGGATCCTAGCGGTCCACGCATGTGAACGCGTTTATGCATGAAACGTGACAACTGCATACTGCCTTCACTGCGCATGCTGCCCGGGAGTTTCAAATACATCACCCGTCCATCGTGCATTCTTAAACACAATTCACTAAATCTAGAAAATTAACAATATATATTTTATCCTTTCCTACAGATTATCAAGAACGACACAAATGGCAAGAGTTAAGAGACCAACTGGAATCGAGAATCACTGATCAACGAGATGTACACGGTCTAACGCTGATAAAAAGATTAGAGGCTCACGACGGTACATCCAGTGGAATTACTAAACCGATATCCACCGAGAAACCGACGATCTATGCCATCACCCCGACTTTTGCCAGACCTGTACAAAAAGCCGAATTAACTCGGCTATATCAAACGTTCCTTCACATACCGAACTTCCACTGGATCGTCGTCGAGGATTCAGAGATAAAGACGAAACTCGTCACACGATTCTTCGAGAATAGCAGTATAATTTATACTCACATTGCCGCAGCAACTCCGCCTAATTACAAGTTGGGCCGAAACGATCCGAACTGGAAGAAGCCGCGCGGGGTCGAGCAACGAAATGCCGCTTTACGCTGGCTTCGGGAGTATCTCAAAGTAACCGACAGGGGGATTGTGTATTTCGCTGACGATGACAATACGTATTCGATCAAGCTGTTCCACGAGGTAAGAACATTACCGCCAAATGATCAGTTCAATCACGGAAACGTTACGTAATGCGAGTTGCAGATGGAGAAGATACAGAAGGTCGGCGTGTGGCCGGTGGGCCTTGTTGGTGGTCTAATGGTGGAGAAACCGATATGTGATAACGTTACCAATAAGGTGATCGGCTTCAACGCGGCTTGGAAACCGGATCGTCCATTTCCGTTGGACATGGCTGGATTCGCCATGAATGCACGCCTTTTATTAGAAAATAAAGAGGCTATGTTTTCGTACGATGTTGAAGGTGGATACCAGGAGAGTGAGATTTTGAGACACATTGTAAGTAGGGATGAACTGGAGCCACTAGCAGATTGCTGCACGAAGGTTCGTATACGTCATCTTTCAAAGAATGCATCTCAATCATGTAGACAAAACGTTGAAATACGATGGTGTGTCAATTCCACAGTGCGTCACTGAAGTATAGTAAACAGTATTTGTGGTGCCATCAACGGCAAAGTGTTCAAACTGCTAGCCAAATTGTATCCAAATCTTATCGCGATGTGGCAGCACCATGTCTTTTACTGATGTAATGGAAAAACTGTCCATAGACAACTTTAAATCAAACACTAATTATAAAACAGTGACCATTAATGAAGAAATGTAAATTATTTAATTATTTGATGGAATGAGTTCAAAAGACATTGTGGTGCCATCCAACGACACGAGTGTAGTATTGATTGGCTAGTTGCTTGGACGTCTTGACGTAGATGTCGTTGTACACCTTCTTAATCACTTCCGGCATAAAGAATAAAATATCAATTAATAACGGTGCAATCACCGATACAGGAGTATGAAACAAATTATGTACTGTACTGCCTTCGAAAAAAGTATTTAATCGCAATTTTCCAAGTTTTTCTGTATTTTTCGTTATTGTACGTACACCGGCGGTCAAAGTACAGTTTACAATTAGATTGCAGATTTTATGCATTTCTAGCATAAATTGTCGAAAACTCTATTTTATTTAGAATCCGATTATAATCCTCAACAGAGTCAACTATTTATTCGTTGATTAGAGTATCTGTAATCAAGTTCATGATGGTAATTTGTTACATTTTCTTTTCAGGTGTACGTGTGGCACACGCGAACGGAACCGCCGCAGCTGAACGTAGAGCAGTTGCTAATAAAGAAAGGTAAACGTTCAAACGTTGGCATTGAAGTGTGATACGAACAATATTTAGAACTTATGTAGTTCGCTACGTTTATTTTTGTTTTTTTTTTTTGCGATTGTTACGAGAGCCTATGCCGTGATAGAGTAACGTTTTGCAAACGAGGATGGAGAAGGGAATTTTGTATGCGCATTTTATTATTCGCCGTTGGCCATGTACTCCCTTCGTCGCGGATAAATGCAGTGTGCCATAACGCGTAGTTGCTTACAGCTGCATATTCGATAAGGAAATAGTCGGAAAGACGGAATCGCCCTAGCCTAAAACTCGATAATACGTCTGATATTGATGGAACATGAACAGTTTTTCTTCTAAAATTTTTATACACCCGTTAGTTATAAGATTTGTTTTAATACTCAGGTGATGATGAAACTTGAAGAACACAAAAATATATATATATATATATGTCTATGGATACAAACGAAGACCGTGAGAGACGTGAATTATTGACCTTGAAAATGTCCTTTATCCTTTATTAGTCGAGTACGTTTCCTTGGCGCGTACAGAAAAAGCATACATAAAAAATATGCCTTACACCTACGAACTTTAATAATACTCGTAATAATAGTTTGTTTTTTGTTTGTTTCTCTTTTCTCTCATTTAAACTGGAAGATGCGCAGTAATACTTTTCATGGGAAGCTACTTGGGTTACGGGTTTTGGCAACGAATATAAAATAGCTAGATTAAAAGTGATGTTGTGTCCGCCTCGCCGGACCGGTTCGGGTCGTTCCCGACCCGGCGAAGCCTCGAGGAATACTGCATTGTGACGATTTACGAGACGAACAAACACGCAGTTTCGTTTCATTTTTTTTTTCTCTCGTCGATATAATATATATTTTCTCGTGTATAATATGTACTCGTTGACTTATAAGCTAATAAGTACTATATATTTGGCAAAACTCTGTGTGTTTACGGGTACGTAAAAAAGCTACCTTGTGCAGACAGTGCGTTCGCAAGCGAGGAGGCGATGTTTTATACTCTTCCGTTTCTTTGATCTTCATTTTTTTGTCTTTGTTAAATTCGTAGGTACATTGATCATCTTAAATAAATATACAACACGATCGATTGCTCTTCCGGCTCCACTCTCCGCGATCCTTCGAACTCTTCCTATTCTTCTTCCTTTTTTTTTTTTTTTTTTTCATTGCGAACGCACCTTCCGAACTCGCGTACAACGTCCTAAACTTACCAGACCCTCTCCTTAAACTTATCTCTGATACTCCTTAATGATTAGGAAAAACGTTTACAAGCATTTACAAAAACTTATCACATTTTAAACTGCGTTTTCTCGAAAAGCCATCTTACACATTAGGACAGAACTGGTACTTTATAGTATCGAATATTAATAATATATTTATATGTATATATGTATATGGCAGCTTTCGATTGTTCTCTTTGTCTTTTGTTTTACGTATTCTGAAACGAAAACCTCGGGTACATGTTTACAACCAGTGATTGTTGTGTCGACTGCACAGACTCATTCGAACCGGTGAATTTGCTTGTCGAACGAATGTCGAAATTGTCGCTGCTTCTGATTACACTATACATACAATATTCAGAGAGACTTTTAAAAAGATACACACGTCTTTGTCAGCGCGTCACCATAGGGGGATCAGTCGAACGACCCATTCCTTCAAACTCCTCCCTAATTTCCGTATCTTACAGTCTTTAGGATGCAACCGCAATGAATCGTAATTGCTTCGATGATCCCCACCTAGACGACACGCCATCAACCGGAATTCTATTAGCAAAAGCTGCCCAATTCTCGGTACAAATACTTACTTACAGGATAACTAAACGCGGGACACGTAAAACACTACTAAAAATTAGAAATGTAAAAAAAAAAAAAATAACGTGCAAGGGAGATTGTCGCCTAGTCCTTGCACGCGACGCCTCTTGTTAAACATTTACATTCGTAAAATGTACAACGGTTAAACGTTATCACGGTAAAATTATCACGGACAGAACAGAGGATACACTCGCATCGAGAAACGCAACTAAATCGATTACTCACGAGAGGAACGTACCCGGCCGATACGTCGGAGTCATGTTTCTGGCTGGGGGCAAGAGTCGCTGGAAATGGTGCTCGTCGTTCCCTAAAGATGTCTCCCTCCGCGACCGGCATTCATGTCGAATGAACATACACGTGCGAACGGCGAGCTGAAGTGACCTGAGTTATCTGATCGTCAACCGATGACCGATTACCGGTTTCGTCATTATGGATTTTCCACGCTTAAAGGAATCAGTCTTTGAAACCAAGGTCATTCATGCGAACCACAAAAATCGTTAACCTGGCGTTTTGACATCGGACAATATGAAATGAAACATGCGTGTGTGTGTGTGTGTGTTGTGGAACATTGAATATGGCGTCTAATTGAAAAAACAACGTAGACAAATGGGCGAGGAATCGAGGGAATATAACCTTCGAAAGTATATACATAGATTGGAGATGCGCGCCGAACTGGCGGACCTCGTTTGAGAGAGTGCGTGTGGTATTCCCTTTCAATTTCGTTGGTTTCTGTCGAAGAAAACGGCTTCGAACAACCTTATTCTCGTCCGAGAAACGAACACGAAACAGGGAAAGCGTTTTTCCTTCCTTTTTTTTTCTCGTTTTTACTGTTGTGCTGCGCGCACGATAACACAGTACTACCCAGCGTACTAGACTGCGGATTATCTAGGGGGTGCCTCGAAGCAGAGATCACTAATTTACCGACCAACTTCTACCAATTTCGCGATAAATTTTGTACATTCTTCCTCCTCGTGTAAGCGATCTATCTAGCTCATCCTCCTTCTTGCAACACTCGCTAAGTAACAATTACATCGAATAGTTTTTTTTTCCATTGTCTAAGAACGATCTTACGAGGCGGGTTACGCAGCGTACCCGTCGATATCGTAGATTAATACTTGTGGTTTCATTTGGCGATTACATTGACGAGGAAGGACAGGGTGCGTGTGTATGTGCTGTGATCAGTTTATCTTCAATAATGCTTTCCTTACTGTCGCGAAACATCGATTCTACTATCGGGTGTGTCGAGGGAATCAGACGAATTTTTATTTTGTTTCCTGTACCGGAACGGTTTTAGTGTTACTGAACGTGCTTACCAATAAGAGGTTACACGGTTCCCGGTCGTGTTCCTCGAGGAGACAACGACGAGAATGTACGCGTTGATTATCGGTTATTCCGTTGAATAAAGTGATCGAACGATCTCTCGTGATTTTTTTTTTTCACCGTGCTCGGATGGCACACGCGGTACCTGGGAACGGAGAACGAAGTTTCGTCGATTCGAACGTCCCGCCAAATTCTACGCTCCCGCGCGGGAGACCTAACCTCGAAACGGCGCGGAATCGTTTGAAATTCGAGAAAGATGGTGTGTTCCGGGGACACCCTGGAGTTAAACTTCGTTTTACAGTCCGTGGATGCGTACGAGAGCCGCGTTCCGTTATCGTTCGAGAACACTTTGGCCAGAAACATCGTTTCCACACACGGTTTTACGATTTACAATCTAGTACGCCGGAAGTATATCTAGACGGCCGAGTCCTTGCCTACGAAACCGGTCTTCGAGACGGACCTTTTCCCGTCGAAGGTGATCGATGTCTCACGGCGTAGCCCCGAGTCGATGATCGGCGTGATCTTCTTCTCTTCCTTCAATGGCTCTTTCTCGTCTCTAAAATGTTTCAATAAGACAAATTGGTTATCAGGGGAAAACACAACTGTTTCACCGTATATCGGTTTACGGTTTTAGGTTCTATTACTGGGCATAAAAGAGCATGTCGATGGATGCGGCGCGTGGTGCAACATCGAACAATATATGCATAAGGCATGCCATCACTCGCTAGTATCGTGTATCGGTAGGAATACAGCGGGGACTCGATAAATGCTCGCGGGAAAATTTCGTTGCCTCTTGGTTTGGGTTAGGTTAGTTACCTGTTTTGGACTCTTGTCTGCACTTTAGGCTACCTAAAAGCTTCTAGTGACTTGCTGACTGAGGAAATTGAGGCAAATCAATTCACGTATGCATACTTTTAATTACCTTACCCTTTACCTCTTAGACATGAATAATACGACAAAATTTAATAACCAAATGAACCTTATTTTTCGTTACACTTATGGAAATAGTCTGCCACTTACTGTTAATTAAAGGTACTCAAACGTTTGAACTTCCAAAACTGTCCACTAGGTGGTGATAGCGAAATAAAAATTTAGACTCTTCTATAAGGCGTGTCGTCTGTAGGTAAGGGTCAATGGTTTCTTCTTCACTTATCCAAAGCTTCGGTAAATTCTGTTGTGCATCAAATAGAATATGTTACCGAAGTATACGTTAAATGTTTGCCTCCAATTCGGAGCAACGAGCACTTAACGCGTCCCTGCTGTCTATGATCTGAATTTCCTACCTCCTCGCGATTTTCAGCAAAACAGTGAACAACGCCGTTAAATGTCCCGCGACATTGGAATACAGTCAGCGGAGAGGCAAGGTAACTGTCGAAATCTTCTCGAAATTATATATACAATTTACACCACTTAAAGTTGATTTCGGCCTCCGCGTCCCCTTACTTCGCGCGACGTAAACGAGACTGAATTACCGACACGTCCATAATCCACGGTCGAATGGGACAGGGTAAATTAGAGCGATGTGGTGGAGTGTGCTACATAGTTAACGAGCAATTAATATCACTTCAGAGTGTTGATATCTCATGCAGCATAGCCAAAGCACGGGCGGATAATGGCGACAGTTTTATGCAGACCGCGTAGAACGACAGAGAGAGAAAGAGAGGAGAAACAGTGGAGTGGAACGGATAGATGGTAAATGAAACTTAATAAGATGCGACATTCGTTTTACGAGTCGTGTGTGTTCTCGTGTGAAAAAAACGTGGTTGGCGGTGGAAAGGATGTGTTAATTGGCCGGAACAGAAGGGTACAGACAAAATAGATAAATAAACATCGTGTCATGCTCAAACGTTGCCCACGGTTGCGTCCAATTTGTCTCCATGGACGCCATCTTGGAATTTACGGTGCTGGTGCATACTTGGCAGATCGTGATTCTGATTATAAAATCGAAGACAGACCAGTGATTATGTCTACACGGTTAAGTTTTCAGTGAACTGGTACTTTCAACCTTTTTTCAACTTGTAAATTAACCCCGACCCATTCTATTTTTTAAAATATTTAGTAAACGTGTCATACTTATTATTATTATATGTTATATAACTCAGTTACTATTCCTCATTACATAAATAAACAAAAATACAAATTCAAGATAATAAGTTTTTTTTTACCCGTTTGAAAATAGCAAAATAGCTCGGGTCACATCTGACCCCACGTTATTAAGTACGGTTTTTAAACCACTTAATACCATTTGAAAGAAGGTTTATTTTATATGATATCTTGAGACCACTGCTTACATTGACGTCTCAAATTTGGA